TGTATGACCACCATCTGTTGGTGTGTTTCTGGATGTCAACAGCCCATCTGGGACCTAGAAATGACAAATGATGTTAGAAAGTTTGTCACTTACACACTGGCTTTTGCTTAACCCAGTCTGCTGAGCGAACAAAAATATGTACATGTTAGTCATTGTTTACTCCCGTGTCAATTCCATGGGGCGCTCGTTAGCTAGGCTTGGATAGTGTGCGATCTCCGAATTTTTATCTTGGTATGGGAACGAAAAAAGAGACAAGCGACACGCAAAAACACGTCAGACACTGACAGCGTCGATGTGGTTCCAAGATACACTGCGCAACACATTTCGCAGAAAGGCGGCATCGGTACTTCGTCGGCAATTCACTCATACTGGCTAATGTGAAACGGCAAATTTGTACTGTCCGAGTTGGTTCACTGTATTACACGTAACAGACATTCATATTTCATTCCTGAAAGAAAAAACGATCGCGTTTTTGCGGCAAGTTTTGAGCTCTGTGCTTTTCTACAGTACCATGATTACAACCGTAGACTGCAACTACTATACCAAATACGATGTATGACTATACTGCGTCTCACCTAAATGCGAACGAAGCGAAAATTACAAACGCGAGAATCTGATCAGCGCTTGTACTGCAAGATCGCACATGCATGGCAGCTATGATCAAAGCTCGGGATTCGCCCATGTAGATTTAACTTCGACCGCATTTAAAATGAAACGGAACATAGCTTATACGGCCTCTGTGCAGCTTCGAGTCGAAATGACGAGTGTGTATATTCCTAAGTATCACCTGCGAAGATAGGCTTCGGAGGATCGCGAAAACGCTACATTCTCGGCCGTTTTTCGATTAATAGCGCCCATCGACTCCGCCACACAAGATTTATAAAGACCTGCTAGAAGGCAAAATCCGTTGTGTTCGTAAAGGAAGAACAAGATAAAAGGCAACTTACCGGTACAATCGGGCGGCGGTCTCGTAGTGACCGGCGCAACCGGCGTTTCAATCGCGAGGCTAGGCAAGCGCCTTCTCTTTGATGCTCTTCGTCGTCTTCATCTTGGAATCTTCGAAATGCCTCTAGCAGACGACGGAGGAATCGTAAGGGGCACAAAGCTGCTCGATCTTGTGGACTCGGCAAATTTTAAGCGGGCTACAATAAATAAAAGACTCGCGATCGCCGCTACAACACGGCCGCCATGGCTGACGCCGATGTTTGTTTACCCCCCGGCCTCCCCCGACATGTGCGAGGGCGGAGCTTAGTCGGAATCGTCATCAACCTCCTCTCCCGCCTTCGCGCCTCCTTTCTCATGCGCAGAAGACGAAAATGAGCCCACTTGCGAGGCGTATTGGAACCCATGGGTATTTTTAACTGGGGTGGGGCCCCTTCTAGGCTCACCTCATCGACAGGCTGAAGGGCGTGCAGCGCCAGGCTACTCGAACACTTCATTCTCGGATGTTGGGCCGGCAAGTCCCTGTGCCGCCATATGCAGCTCGCCTTAGGGCCCTCAGGTGGCAGAGTCTCTGCCACCGCCGAACAGTGGCTCGGGTTGGGCTCCTTTGTAGGTTGCTCGACGGGTCCATGAGTGATACCCACCTCTACTCATGCATCAGGATCGGAAAGCGATCCGGGCAGCCAGAACTCCTGCATGCCCGAACAGTGCGCCACTCGCACTCCGTACTCCCCGCCGTCCTCAGCGACTTTCTTGTGGCCCCCCTGTCGATTCGATCTCCACTCCCCAACAACCGTGGCGAGTCCGCTGCATTGCGCCGTGCATTCTCACGATCAAAGCACCTAAAATGAATCTACGCTATGATCAATGTTCGGTTTCACTTTGTTTTTATTTGTTCTCTGTTGTTGTTGTTTGTTTTGTTATTTCCTGCCCCGGGTGGTTGGCTGACAGGCACACTAGTGTACGGGCTCTCGCCTTTCCGCCTTCGCCTTGCAAGCCACCCGGGGTTACATTACTCTTGCAAATAAAGATTATTATCATTATTAATATTATTAAGAATGCTAGAATGCCGTCCGAAGGCTATTTACGGCCGCAGTCGAGCGCCGTTCTAAATGGAGTGTCGTCAGACGGCACTTGAACGTTCCACAAGAGTGCCGCCGGACGGCACTCTAAACACAGCGTTAAGAAATAAAGGGCCGTATGATAAGTTGAGTTGGGAAAACAATGCAACATGGCAAGTAAAGCAATGGCTGCCTCAATTGAAAAAGTCACTTTTCTTATACGGGTTAGCTTGCTCCACCTTTACCACGGGTTGGTCCGATATTGCACTGCTTCGGGATCGGCACATTCGGGGATCGGTTCAAGACCATCAAAGCTGAGATGCTACGACATATCAGCCGTTTCTCTTAAAACCAGTGAATCCTGTTTCTCCTCACACGCCTGTGCGCAGCAGTACGCACGCGCGCCGATACGAAGTGGTAAAGCTTGACTTGACGAGCACAGGTGCAAAGCAGCGAAGCCTGACGCAAGAAACCGAAGGGTCCCGAGGGCATCCGTAAATAAAGAATATTTGAAAAACTCGAAACCTTCAGACAGTAAAAGTGTGCTAAAAACTGAACCGAACAAGAAACACTATCAGCGAGTTATTCGAAGTCTAAAGTATTAGCATGCCTCTAGCAGTTCGACTATGCATCCAATAGCTCGGCCACAGCTCATAATAATACAAATTATCATTTATACATGAACTAACACAATCCGACAAGTTTTCTCTCTAATGACCACCGAGATAAAAAAAAAGAAGTGCAACCTAACATAAAGTTCCGAAAGAACGCTTACTTAAATTACAGATATAAAGCAAGAAATATGGGGCAGGCGAAAGTTCAGTTCAGATGGCTAAAACGACAGAAATATTTGATATATATCCAAGGGTATGAACGGGTTTATTCTTATTCGTCGTCGCCATCACTGAAACCATCTATTGATCCATCCCCATCAAAGATGAGGTCCAGCAAATTGTGGATCTGTTCACGTCGAGTCATCCAGCAGCCGCGGGTCACCTTTCTGGCCACCGAGATTGGTCTGCTATTTACGCTGGCATTGCCGTCAGTTCCGTTTAAACGCCAACGGAAACGGAAGTCGTTAAAATCCTGAAGCATAATCTCACGCTACGGAAGCCAGTGCATTAAAACATAAAACCCGCTGTGCAGGTTGAGCACCAAAATATGACTGCATAAACTGAGAGAAACAGAAGATGCACGATGAACAGTCCCCCTTGTGCAAATGCAAATGACGTCCCATGATGGAGATGGATTCCAAGAATCAAGACAACTTTGTCTCTAACACTGGATCAGAAAACCCCATGAGCCCGGCCGTTTTCCACTTATTTCAGAGTTGTTACTCCTGTGATGCTAATTTCGCAGTGACCACCAATCCGCGACGAGCGCAGCTTGTGCTTACGACGCTGTTGTCGGTAAAGGATTTGCCAATTCAGAGCTGCTTCTCTTGATTTGCTTTTCTTTTTATTTGGATATTATCTCAAAACGTCAGATGCGCGGGAGCTAAAGCGTTCGACCTTGCGGTTTTCGGGAGATTTGCTTATGCTCCATGGTTTTTTGACAATAATTCTCCTCGTTTAAAGGGGTACTCCGGCCGTTTTTCGAGCTGCCTAAACAAATTGCATTTTCTGACTACCCGGACTTCGGTCGTCATGGTATGCTAAAGATGATGCCGAAACCAGCATTCAAATTTTCACGCGCTCTTCAGTGGTGTGATGTCACACATGGTACAGACTTTCAGGTCGTTCATGTAGTCTTAGAGTATGTCGAGTGTTTTCTGCGTGCTTCTCAGTGAATCAGTAACCAAACATTCTTTTCCCACGATCAAACGTCCTGTAATCGGTTGGGAACATGGCTTACTGGTCACTTTGTACCATTTCTGTCGTCACACTTCAATGTTGCCAGTAGGGGCTCCCGGTTTGAAAAACACGATGAAAACGAAATTCGAAAATTCAATAACTTCGCGAATTTTTTTTTCTTTTCATACAGTACTTGGGGAACTTGTAGAGCCATGTCTATCGGTCTGTTGAGCCAATTTTGAGGCAAACCAGCGACCATGAAAAAAATTACACTATCTTCCCGAGGGGAACCATGGGGTGATGCGGAGCATCGCGGATCGTTATTAACTGTGTTATTAACGGTGTTAGTAACGTTGTTGAACTTCACGGTCCCGAACCTCAGGTTCTGCTGCTCGACGTTCACGAACCAACGCGGCTTCCCGTTCTCGAAGGTAGGGTTCCGCCGCTCGCTTCGTACGTTGTTTACGTTGAACTTCACGGTCCCGAACCTCAGGTTCTGCTGCTCGACGTTCTCGAACCGCCGCTGCTTCACGTTGTCGTAGTTCAGCATCCGCCGCTCGACGTTGACGAATGGACGCCGCTTTGTCAAGCGTTTGCGCGCAGCGTCGCGTGCCCTTCGCTGGGCAGCTTTGTCTTCAGTGGACGTAGCGTCGGAAGAACGGAGTGGAGTCAACAGCGGTGAACTGAACGCGTGCAGTGCGCTACCGCTGCTTATATTCACACTTGAAGGAGAGGAGACTAAAGGAGGAGAGTTGCGCATGCGCGCGCGGCGTGAGTAGAAGGCTAGAAGCGAACACACGCGAAGTGCATGCAGCTGGTAGAGAGAGCGGAGAGAGTAATGCGCAGCTGTTGGAGAGAGGGAAGGAGGAGAGTTGCGCATGCGTAGCGTGAGTGCGGACTACGATGCCGCGGGACACAGACCCGAGCAAGAGATGCTCCGCATCTAAAAGTCGCCGGAGTACCCCTTTAAAGTCAGGTGATAAGAGGTTTTCGCAGAATTTCCAGGGCTTCCGCTTTTGCCACTTTTGGGGGTGGAGTACGTTTGGGGCTCTATATGAAACAGCTATTTCACCCCAAAACGTGCCTGGGCGATCTTTTGGGTGTGGGCGTTCCCTCGGAGCTTTATGGTAAGTATGCAGACTGCAAAGTCAGAACAATAGCAGAGATAAAGGAAATTCTGCAAAACAGGATTTTGGACTCATGATAAGTTTGAAACTGCAACTTTATTTCCTTATGCATGTACATGCCACAACGTCTGCTAACAATGTGCTGCAAACGGTACAGTTAGAAGTCTTTGGGAGATGGGCGAGCAAAAGGGGGACATCATCCCCCTCTCCAAAAATGTTTACTAGAAATGTCTCAAATGTTAAGAAGGGGCAATCGCCCATCCTGATCGTCCCCTTCTGACACCCCTCACTGCAAATGACCACAGAAACCAGAAGCTTCATTAATCTACAAGTATAACAAGAGCTCATCAGGACTTTCATGAGACCCCCAAGTGGCCAATGAATGGAAAAGTAATTTACTTGCACAAAATTTGAGGTGACATAACCCTCATAGAAGTATGTGTATCTAAAAAATACCACAAAATACTTTGCTGTTAATAAAAACATAAAAGCTATTACAATAGCATTAAAAGTAATTCCCTTATGCATTTCTTAACCCTTCATGCAATAGTCAATAAAAGAAAGATGCAAAAATGTTCAAAAGGAAACTGTCAAGCAACTTGACTGCTGCATAAAAAATAACCTAACAAAGTTCACTTCAGCACTAACTGAACTAAGTCAAGGTCAGCTCTAAGACAGCCGCAAAAATAAACGTATGCATGTCACGTAACAGGTTCTAAACAAATGGAAAATATCTCAAAGTGCTCATAGTACAGTGAACGCTACAAAAATATATAATGCTAGATAGAGCTGACAAACAATAAAAAAAGATTAAAATAAAAAAAAAATATTGTTCACACTATTCTGCAAAGGCAATAACAACAGTGGTTCTTTATATCACTCCTCGTCACCCCCATAAATTGCAATGAGCGTTGCAGTAAACATGATACTGGGTGCTTTTGTCGTTGTCTCTCAGCCTCCTTTCTCAGAGAATAATTCGCCTTCTCCACCCTGGCTGCTTCTTACTGGTAGCGTCCCAACAGCTCCCTTCCAATGATGAGTCGTTGAATTTGAGAGGTGCCCTCATAAATCTGCAAACAGAAAAGTTGCAACTTAGCCGAATCAACACAAAGGCCCGGCCGGGTAGGTGCAACTGAAGTGCGCACTGGCGAGAAAACACTCATGTTTTACCAAAAAACTCTGTAATCCAAAGATTCCACAAATCTTTTTCATTTGAGGATTGTTTTTAGATAGCTTTGTCTTTTATAATAATTAGATAGAAATGCCTGCATTTCTATCTAATTATCGTCGGGATTTCGGAGACACAGAGAGCATCTTCAGCTGCTGGATCAGGTGACAGAATTTCTGTGGCAACAAGTTAGAGTTCAGCGCTTGTGTAGTTCGCACCTTCCTTTTGTCCGTGTCTATTTTTTCGCGCTGTTTATTTCCGTTTACCATGAACCAACTTGCCTACACCACAACACTAATCCTGCATTTACCCGATTTGTTCCTCAAATAACTGTCCATAGTCCAGAATGTGCGTTTTTATGTAATGGTTCATTACTGTATGTACTGTATGGGAATAAATCGGTCCCCAAAAATATTGTCGACATAGAGCGGCATTTATATTAATGAGACAAGACTATAAAAGGTTTGAACCACAGGGCGGCCTCAAAAAGAATTTACAGCACTTTTTTCAACGCAAAACTATAACACTCAGTCTCTCAGTCAAAATCGGACGCTAACATTTCAAAACTAACCAACATTTTATTCAAGTTATATATAAGTCTTGAAAATTTTCAATAGGAAAATTTTCAATAGGAAAGCCCACAAATACATAGAGATAAATGGTAATGGCTACCGAAAACGGGCCCATTTTCCCATAAAAATATTGAGAAAACATTTTGTAACTTTTAAATAAGATAATGGTTGGGTCTGATGACATCTGGCCCAGACAGCTATTGTAGAATACTGCGCATCCGCCCATTCCCAAATTTCTAAGATCTGAGAAAATATGCAAAGTAGATTGATATGTAAAATTGATGACCGGACAAGTGCCCATCCCCCATTTTTTTGCGATTATCTCTATTTGAGTGGGCGCTTGTCCGATATTTTACGGTGGTGCTACATTTGGGCGGAGGCTGAGTGTACAGCGATGTATAGTTTATTTTTGCAATGAAAAGAAAAAAGCTCCTTTTGGTGAGACAACCTGTGTATAACAGGTTGTCGCCTCAACACGCGGCATTCAGTCTCATCTGCGCCTCTATAAAAGGATGTACCTTCGACAGCGTTAAAGCATGTTCCTAGCTCTAAAATATGACCGAAAGTTAAGGACACTCAAATTAATTTAATGCACGTAAAAAAACTTACACATCGCGGACAAATTAACATAATCCCAAACATGTAGGAGAAGCAACACCTTCATCTCTAAAAGTATGCAGAAAAAAAAACTGGATGACTTGCCTGATAAATTTTGGCGTCTCTCATGAGCTTCTCCACAGGATACTCTGAGTTGAATCCGTTCCCTCCAAAGATCTGCCAGAAAGGGGTGAAACAGAGATAAATGCAAACGAGTTCGGAGCCATGCTCCATCACATTTTGTCTTTCTGCAAAACAACAGCCCCCTTTAGGGCATCTTGTCGGCTGTTTGTTTCCAGCATGAATGGCATTCAACAATAATGGACTACTCTGGGCAATAGAAGTGCTCCTGACTTGAACCGTAATGACACCCTTTTGCTTCAAAATTCAGTCTTAGAACGATGCGACCCATACCAAAGGGCCTGCCGAGCTCCCATTAAAAAGTTTGGTGTACTCCTGTTTCAATGAAGTTAAAGGCTCATTCACAAAGCACATCCAAATACTTACTGTAGACTAGATAAGCTGTGGCAGTTTGTATCAAGTTAAGACAGAAAGGGAGCGTGACTAACACCAAATGGCTCGGTGGCCACATGGCCTCGCAGGCACATCTTGATGGGAGCGTCTGTAACATGGCCGTACTAATTGTGTTCTGCATATGTTTAGACGATAAATTTAGCCAGTGCAGCACCACTGTTAGCCTGGGGTCTTTAATGTGCATTATGCAGTAACGATACATGACCACACACCAGTACTACAATGGTTGTCAAGATCAAAATTGGCAAGAGACAAAAGGTAGTGGACCTTTTTCAAGAAACGAGCGTTGTCTGGGGAGTTGTCTGCAATCTACAAATAAAGGGCGGTCCAACATGCATTCGCCCATCAGAACACTTGTCATGCGGGACAGTGCCCTGCGAAAATGGCGACAGCAGGAAGATAGGCCTAGGGAGAGAGTGTATGCATGTGCTGAAGAAGCTTACTGGAAAAAAGTCCACTAAGTTGTGCATTTGTTTAGACAGCAGGAAGCTAGTCAGGCCCAGTGGGCATCCAGTAGTGTTGTGCGAATATTCAAATTTTCTAATAGTTGCTTTAAATAATGTGATACTCGAAATTCACTTCGAGGTGAACTGCTCTATTCATACTTTTTTAACCCTTTCGCTACCAAAGCCGGTAAATCTCCGGGAGTGCCTTCAGGGGCCAGATCGCCAAAGCTGGTGATTCGCGGGCTGCATAAATTTGTTTTAAAGAGCCATTTCTAGATGGCGCGCTATATAGACTTGGGGTAGTGTAGTTATATTACCAACAAATGGCAAGGGTCGTTCTGTTCGCTGTGTTTGTTTGAGCTTGTTCATTTGTGTGTCGTCTTTACCGCTCGATCACTGCCTGCTTGGAGATGATTGCAGTGTACGGTGTGGCCTTTCTAACGATGAAATCATAGATATCCTCTTCGACAGCGATGGTGACGGAACGTCTGGGGAGGATAGTGAGTTTTCGAAGACCTGTCGATGACTGGAGTGATACCGACAGCAGTTCCCAGTCCGAATCACGACAAGAGCGCGCTTGTTGTGCGACGCCTAAGCGACTGAGGATGGACACCTTTAAGATCTTTCATACGAGGAAGAATCTGTGAGGGCCTAGTGGTTTATAGACTTGAACGAATCACTTAAGCATGTAAGTAAACATGATTTCTTGTTTTCTGCACCGAGTTGTACTGTAAAAGCTTATTATACAATGTAAACAGTCCCACCTAGTGTGGTCTTGTTATAGGGGAAAAACATGCGGTACGGACGGCCCAGCAGCGCGTGCAATAGTGCATGGTCGATAGTGGCAAATTAGCCCCATTGAGTGCGCTTCTTGCCGAGCACCTGTGCACTGCAGAAAAGCAAAACCCGCAAAGCTCGTGGGCTCTGCGGGCATTGCTTCCGCGTAGTGCAAAGATGCTCGGTGAGAAGCGCACTCAACGGGTCTAACTTGCCGCGATTATGCAAAAGTATATGTTAGGCAGCGTTGTCTTGACAGGCTGCGTTCATCATTTGTGCCTGTTTTATTTATCTTTTTTGATCAAATTTTGAATAGAAGAAAGAATATTTGCATATAGCAAGCAGATTGATCAATCCCCTCGATTGGGATAGTTGTGACAAATCTGTCGTTTACATATTACAGTTCATGAATATAGTTGTTAAAATTAATTGAGCCTAGAACTGGACAAGTGGAAGGTTGAAGAGCCCTCACGAGTTCAGCTGAATTTTCGTTAAAGCATGGTGCACGGTAACGAAAGACTTGGAGAAACTATTGAACATTGAATCAAAAGACATTCGGCCAAAATCACTATTCGCATTGAATTCGCTTGGAACTCAAAACCCTCTTTCCACACAAGCCTAGCATCTGATGTCTCCACTGTAGATAAAAAATTTTGCCAGTGCAGTACCACCGCTAGCCTGTGATCTTTAACGTGCATCACGCGCTAGTGACACACAACCGCGCGCCAATACGATGCTCATCCACATCGAAACATACAGGGGTGGGGAATGGGCAGGGGTGCACCACAGTACCCAGGACCCCTGGATTTTGCGGCACAAACTTTCGCTCCACATGCTCCCAGCTGAGACATAGTTGTACTGTGTGAATGTGAACTCTTTTCCCGACAGTACCCATAGAGCATCGACCACCCGTGATCGATGGGCATGAAGATCTAAGTCTTAGAGCTATCTGCTATATGCGAGATGGCGCAGCGATCTCGTAAATAGTAGAAAGCTCGGCAGTTTAGCGACGAGTTTGAAGACTACAGTTTTCATCCTTGTGTTTCTTTTTCTTTTTACGCATAGCAGCGATTTATTGTTGAAATGGAATGCTCATAAGCTACTTAGTATATACACCAAGTTACGCGATTTTTAGAGCAATTAATAATTGCAATACAGTAAAACCTCTTTATAACAAAATGGGATATAACAAACTAATGGATGTAACAAAGCAATCATAATTCCCCTTGCTTGCTAATAGTGGGAAGAAATGACAGTGGCTATAACAAACTAATGGTTATAACGAAATAATTACGACCGCTCCTTCAACTTTGTTATAACGAGGTTTTACTGTATTCAATTTACAAATTCTTATCATTTTCATCTGGCGATTAGGCAGCACTGCCCAAGTTAGTCACTAAACCGCGTGACCATGAACGCTCTCTCACTTTAGGCGCCCCCATGATCACCCAAGCTCTCCTCGCCGCAGTATGATCAAAACCGCTCACGCAACTCGGTAACCCGAAAGCTGTTCTCGCTCTCGCCCCCGCCCGTTGACCTTTCACCCTGCATGCGAGATATTCCTCCCGGACGGCAAGTTCGTCCGTAACTCGTCGTCGCTGGAGTTGGTCGCCGGTGGGTCGCAGCCAAAATGAACAGCTTCCAACGTCTCTTGATAGCAATCACTCTCATTGCTGCTGCGATCAATGTCGAACACTTTGACAAGGCGAGCGATGCCGTAGACGTAATTGTCACGGACCGCAACCACGGAACGTGGAAGGTAAACGAGGCAGCTGAAGCTCGAGACGCCAAGAGAGCCAAGTCTGTGAGTGCAACAAGGAGACACTGCGCTAAAGACTGGCTACATAGCCAGCCTCCAGCTCCGCTCGGATCCGGTTCTCCGAGGGATCCACATATAAATCCATTTATCCACGAAACTATCCACCATTTTCAAAACAAATTTAGCAGGATTATAGAAATATACAATGGGTTCTAGCAGTATAGTTATCTTCTATTTTATTTTTGGCGCGTCATAACCCCTTTAAGCCGAGCACGAAAGCGATGCCACATCGCTGTTTGTTGACCGCCATGGCTGCTTTCGCAGGTCTGGTGCGTTTGCAAGCGTGGCAATTCTTGCGAATTCCCCACAGATTTTTCAGACTCCGATGGCAGCAGTGGGTTTGATGATGAAGTCACATCATTGTGTTTTAATTCTGATGACCTCTGCTTCACCACAATGAAAAACAGCTTAGCCCAATGGCATTTCAGTCATGAGGGTTGACTTGATTTTTGATAGCCCAAAATCTTTTTGTGCTAGAACTTCAGTTTTTGCAAAGCATTTTGTTGCGAAAATGGGTAACATTTTATACAGTATGTGAAATTTTCTTTTAAAGGTAAGCTACGGAGCTTCTTGGAAAAAATGAGTTAGAAGTGAATTCTGGTGTATTTTTACCCCATGAACCCGAATACCCAAACCATTAGCTGCGCAAGTATTGTTAAACGCGAGAAAAACGCGAAAGACAGTTGCTGTCCGTGACGTCATCAACGGATCTTTTGGCTACCCAAGGCTAGGGGGGCGGGGCTTCAGCCCTATTTTGAAATTGCTCTTGTGGCTTTCCGGCGCGTCGCATTGAAATATAATTTTGATATCTGTTATTCTAAAGGCCAAATGAACGCAATTCAAGCGTTTTTTCTCAAATGTAGAAGTGCCCCATCTTCCCTTTAAGATTTTTTTTTTTCTCAAAATAAATGTATGAATCAAATAAAAAAAGATTGTTTCACAAAAATAAATACTGCTTTAGAATTAAAGTCTTTGCTCCGATGTTCGCACAATTTAAAAATCCATTTACCTTCATTTCTATGTATTGCAACATGTTTTATATCTAACAGTTTCCTGGGGAAAAAAATGTAAAAAAAAGCCACATAAAAAGGCCATTTTCCCCGTGGTCAGGAAAGGGTTAGCACTGTATGCAAACTACAAATTTAAGTCACACGAAGACCAGGACGAGCGCTAGTCACTGACAAGATGAAGACGGCAGGACCCCTCCCTCAGATGCCCGGCCTCTATAATAGGTGACAGGTTAAGACTAAAGTGGAAGCTCCTCCCACCTCTTTCCAACTCAGCAGTGCAAACGCTGAAGAGGAGGCGACATCCTCTCCTGCGTTCACTCTGCTAAAGTGAAAAGAGGTGGGGAAACTTCCACTTCACTCTTGACCTGACACCGACTACAGCACACGTTTGTTGCCTTCCATCACGCTTTAGCTGCACGCTTGAGGCTCATGAAATGCCAAAGCGTTATCGAAGGCAGAAAGCTTGTGCTAGAGGTTAAACAGCTGAAACTCTCCCCCTTGTTCTCATCCTGCAGCGAGTATGGAGGCGTACCTGGACGGCGTCGGTGGCGTTCTTGTTAGCCACGTCAGAAGCCAGAGACTTGGCGACCGACGCATAGTAGGTGTTCCTGCGCCCCTGGTCCGTCTCCCACGCCGCCCGCATCCACGCTAGCCTCGAAACCTCCACCCCGACGGCCATGTCGGCCAGCATGAACTGGACCGCTTGGTGCTGCACAGGGACATGGAATGCAATCGCGCGAGGTTGTAACGAATTCGCCGTGACCACCAACACTTTTCCTTGTATATAAGCCGCTTCTTCGCAAGGGTCAAGCGCGAGAAATTACACGTGCGAAACAATGTGCAAACCATCGTGTGGTGGCACACGGTGTTAAATCTACCGGGTCGATCGAGAAACCGAAACCCAGTTTTTTGGCCCGCATAAATAAACTATATGCGTTTAGGAAAGCTGAAACTTTGCGAGAATGTGACCTTAGCAGTGGCAAGAGAATGTGACGTTACGTGAATCAAAAGACACGAGAAACAAAGTTTCTCTGCGGGCCGACGTCTACCCGAGTCTAATCCGTCGAACCAAAAAAACGACAAAAAAATCTCGTCAGCAGGAAAACGAATATTGCTTTTAGTATTTCTTTCCTTCTGGCAAGCTTTTTTTTTTTTTTATGCATGTCCTTCTTGTACATGTGTTATGCTGCGACATAACCTACCTCTAGCTACCGTCGTGTCACCAAAAAGGACATTTTCCAGAGTATAGGGCGCAGCTTCTTTCCCATATTTCCGTCGGTGCCTTAACTGTCCAAGATGTAGGCCGGACCTTAACTGTCCAAGATGTAGGCCACACTGACATTACGACGAAAAAGAAATTGCAGATCGCCCTGCAAACAACCCGCTCTTCTGGCGGTTCAAAGAAAGGCCAAATCTTACTGGCATAGGCTCGCGGCTGCAGCGACTCTGTCGAACATGCAGAAGGTATGAAGGTGCAACTTATATACAAACTCTTTAGTGAAAACAAACAATACCACTTCTAGACCAGAAAGCATGGTACCCCGGGGCCCAATCCCGTCTCCTCTCACCGTGCAGATAGGTGCTCCGAACGTCTTCCGCTCCAAACTGTACTTGACCGCTTCGTCCAGGGCTCGCTGAGCCACTCCCGTGGCTCCCGCCGCCACCTGGGACGGGTGGAGGGAGGACAAACGAAAGATTGTGATGGCAGAGCAAACGGCCCGTTACGCGAGGCTCAGGTAAACTGCCCCCAAATACCACTGCAGACTATTAAACTTCAAGAAGCAAATGCAATAAAAAAAATGTGCAGTGTGTGAAAAAGTGACCACAACAGCCGTCATCGCGCGTGGTGACGCAAACTTTCAGGCATATCCTCCACAGTCGACTTTTGTTAATTCGACCTTGACGGGACATGCGAAATTGGGTCGAACGATCCAAGTCTAATTAAAAGATGCGTGCGACATTCTGAATATCTGGCGCTTTAGGTCGGATAGGCTAATATTCGTATAATGAGCCGCGCACACCACCGCCTGGCGGTGGCAGTGGCCGCAGATGTCCTTTTGCGCGTTAGGTGCGACGGCGGCGGCGATGCCACTGCAGAGCGGTGCTCGCTGCTCCACGGCAGTGTTGCAATGGTTGATTTGTGTCGAGCCCTGACCATGTCCCGTGTCTCGACGTGTCCTCTCATTTTTCTCTCTCCTCGCGATTCGGCGCATGCCGAAAAAATTTGAAAACGGGTTTTCTCATCGATGGACAGAGCCGACCACGCCTGTACTTTGCCCACCGCGTAATTCAGAAAAAAAAAAAGTCCCCTTTTTGTGCGTCACGCACAGCCAATCGTGCTTGGGAGGAGGGCAAAGGAGCGGAACTCGTCAAGCCGCCGCTTCCCACCCCTCACCTTTTCGGGAAACTGAAAACTTTCAGCCTATGGGTCTATTATACCGTCATGGCACACCACATCGTCTGTGTAATGCTCAGCATTCCAAAACAGCCAGGAGGTGCAGCATTTTTAAATATGCATAGTATCTAAAGGCCGGTTTCTAGCTCTTCAGTGTTCAAGTCTGGGGTGTAGCCTTGACAGAGAATGCAATCTGTGGCCGCACTCGGTGCGGAAACTTTACGCGCTACGAAGCCTCTTGCCCGCGACTTTTGCGCGCCACCAAAGAGGCGCGGGAGCAACGACGGCGAACACGCCAGGAGGAAGGGGGGGGGGGGCGCCGGTCCCGGCAATGACAGGGTGCCAGCTGTCGTTACACAGTGCCGATTCACAAACAGTCCGTTTGACATGGTCTGTAATGTGCACGACGGACTGGTTTCAGGCGGATGTAAGCAGAGGGATTCTAAATGCCGCGTATTTAGAACCCTTTTGAGAAGTGTCAAAAAAGAGAGAAATTTTTTTTTTCCCCTCTCACTTTTTAATTACTCCAAAGGTTCCCGCAAATGCCTTTTTGCATCTGAAATCACTTACCGGTGCTCGTGTCTTGTCAAAAGTTCCCATTGCCACCTTGAAGCCGTCGCCTTCCTTCAGAAGTACATTCTGCGAACAGCAATGGAGGACGCATTCTAGCCCGTTCCCCACGTGACACTTGTTCAAAGTTAGACGGATACGAGTGTTAGGAGTGCTCGGGGAGTCAAAGAAAGGTTCAAGCCCTGCAAGAATGCATGCCCCTAATGGCTTTAAATGCACAAAACTTTTGAGCTATGAAAATTCGACTCTCACGCAGGTTTTCTAAGCCTCCCACTTCTTTTATTAACTCTAGTAAGTTTGTGCATATTTTATGCTACTAACAGCATAGCCTCTTTTCAGAGTAGCTTTTTTGACATGGGCCTGGTAAGCTAAGCATAATCTTAGTCTTATGGGAAAAAAAGCCACTTTCTGCGAATTTATGTGGAAAAACAGCAGCTGTTAGCAATCGCCTGCATACTGCGTAGTGTTTGTTTAGTTTGTTTTCTTGTGCTTCATCAGCAAAAACTTGAGTTAGAATGGGCAAGACCTTCTACGAAAGCACCAGTAAACTCTCCAAATATGATATTCAGAGGGCCAGGAGTGGGAAGCCCCTACACTCTGAAGGCATCTGTCTAAAGTAATGCTTTTTATCATCAAAGGTTCCTAGAATAATACAAAAAGCTTCCCCGAAACTCATCCGTTTACGTAAAAATTTCCTGTTATTTCTTAGGTCCGCTTTAAACATGCCAAGCTGAGCCCCCTTTGATTTTGTGTCAAAAGTTGAAAGCCTTTTTTCAGAACTAGTTAGAAGGCTCGATTCAAAACCACAAAGTCAGCTGAGTCAGTCAGCTCAGCAGACCTGATGGAAGCTCACCAAACCACTTGATTTAGCAAGTTATAAAGTTTGATAAATGCTACTCGTTCAAAGGAATGCCCGCGAAATTACAGCAGAAAGGAGGAAAGATTGTTTCGGCGCAAAGTCCGCAGTAGCCAGTTTTGCAATGCGGACGAAACTTACCTCTTCAGGAACTTCGACGTCTTCAAAGGTGATGCCTCGGGTGTCGGAAGCCCGCTGGCCCATGTTCCATTCCTAAAGAGAAAATAAGGACTGAGTGCACGATCCAGTGCCAACTATAATAAGTGCCGCCCAGAAGCATTACATGCTCGCTTCCAGTCCCTTTGTTTTCAAAAAAGCAGTTTCCTCCATGCATCGTGCATTTCAAAGCACCAGCTTCAGGCGGGTAAAGGAGGAGAAAAACTTGCCGCTGATGGAGTGGAACAGTGTTGTCACATGGCAGCTAAGGAATGTGTGCGACATCTCACGACAGAACAAAAAAAAATAGGCTAGACAACACAGGTGCCATGGCACGACACGCTCCCCCAAAGATGAGTGCAAGCACGGCTGTGACTTTGCCCCACAGTGTCCCCTTCAATCACTGCTCCAATTGCCACAAAGAGACTTGGAAGGGTGCCATGTTTCATGTATCAAGAAAGGCTACTTTATAGACCCCATGTTACCTACGTCTTCGGTGCGTCAGTGTGCGGTACTTGACGTCTGACACACTACGCTGGCTACGCTACACTAGTTGGAAATTCAACCCCCTCCTTATAGTTAAATCTGTTTGGGCCGTGCATAGTCGTGTGCTGTCCGAGGAGCATGCGCGGAATGTCCTTTGGCATTGTGCACACTGTGGTGAACTTTATGAGGCTGCGCTCATGCCGCCTGGGTGGTCTTGGTGCTACTCAGGACGCCAGGTGTGCAAAGCATCTGACCCACTTCAAATAAACCTCGAAAATCAGTTTCGCATGCTCCGACACTATAATTTACCAAGAAAGTATGGCTATCCGGAGCATTTATGCTGTGAAAGTAATCAAGTAAATATTTACCTCCATCAAGAGGTATGAATAACACATTGGCAGTGACCTTTATTTCCAAAGTCCTATACAGTGTAGACCGCATGTAAAGTATGTCCAGGGAGTCGCGAAAATCCGCACTATAAGCGGTACCGCGCTATAACCCAAAACATCAATTTTTCAGGCCAAAATACATGCCATCAGACAACTTACCTTTGTAAAAGAATTTATTTTATGTTAGATGAAAAATAAAGCTTAGTTTGAGGAAAGTCTTTACTTCACCAGACTAGTACACTTCTCTCTCAAGTGTGTCACCCATTTTGAAAGAAATGAGTGACTTTTGCCTGGTGCAGCCTTTTAACGGTGTCGCGGGTTGCGGACGGACTTTGCGAGCGTTCAGGATTGCTAACCCTAATCACTTTTCTTCGATGAAAACGCGTGAAAATTCGCATCCTTTATACGGTACGCGCCAGTAATACCTTCAACTTGAGCACAGGCATGAAATGCTCCAAATAAGATATCCGGGCGATGTTCGAAAACACAAATGCTTAGAAAGCACCACTGTAGTCGAAGTAAACAAACACGACGACATGGGCGTTTCTGCCATCTTGAGGGTGCCGCCGACATCGCTGCACGAATAGGTGGATCTTTCCTTCTAGTACGTGCTGGGTTATCATAGCGACACAAAACAAAAATTCACAGTCAAGGATGGTGCTTTTACGGGGAACGATGAGCGTCTACCACGCCGTCTACGTCGACGATCACAAGATTCACAACCGACGCCGTGTTTGCGGATAGAAGCAGCCGGCCTGCGACCGGCATGCAACGTGTGTGAACACTTCTCCTCGACCTGCGATTGGTCTGTCGTTGCGGTTGTTTCCAATGCAGCGGAGGGACGCACAGCACGCACGTGAACGACACGTGCGTGCGTCCCTCCGTCGCTATGGCAACTGAAGCCTCTCTCTTCGCTTCTCCCTGCTTCTTCAAGCAACCTCTTTGCCCTGCAAGTGCCGCTTGCGGCTCGCGCCGTTACCTAGTGCCGCACAGGGAAGCGTGCTCGCTGCGCGGGTCAGGCGGCGCGGTCGGCGGGCTGCTCCAGAAACCGCACTATAACCGGTATTTCCCTTCACGCGCCTGCATTTTAAGCGGTATGCAATTACATGGAGTTCTATGGGAGGCGAACCAGTGGTTTAAAAAAGTTGCGTTATACCCGGTCCTGCACTATAAGCGGTTACGTTGTAAGTGGTCTATAGTGTATTACGTGAAACTCACTACTTAAATACTTCAATGGAGCTTGAAATATATCTGTTGTGTTCAGAAATAGGCTGAATATGATCCACAAAACAGTATAAACCACTTACAACGTAACCGCTTATAATGCAGGACCGGGTATAACGCGGTTTTTTTAAACCACCGGTTCACCTCCCATAGAACTCCATGTAATTACATACCGCTTAGAATGCAGGCGCGCGAAGGGAAATACCGGTTATAGTGCGGTTTCTGGCACAGCCCGCCGACGACCGGAGCAGCGAGCACGCTTCCCTGTGCGACAGTAGATAACGGCGCTGACGGCGCGAGCCGCAAGGGGCACTCGCGGGGAGAAGCGGTGAGAGAGGCTGCAGTTGCCGTAGCGACAAAGGGACGCACGCATGTGTCGTTCACGTGCATGCATTCCTCCGCTGCGTTGGAAACAAAGAAACAAACCGCAACGACAGACCAATCGCAGGTCGAGGAGAAGTGTTCGCGCGCGTTGCATGCCGGTCGCGGACCGGCTGCTTCTATCCGCAAACATGGCGTCGGTTGTGATCGTCGTCGTAGACGGCGTTCATCTCATCGTTCTGCGTAAAAGCGCTATCCTTGACTGTGAATTTTCCTTGTGTGTCGCTATGATAACCCAGCACGTTCTAGAAGGAAAGATCCACCTACTCGTGTGGCGATGCCGTGGCGGCGCTCTCAAGACGGCAGAAACGCCCGTGTCGTCGTGTTTGTTTACTTCGACTACAGTGGTGCTTTCTAAGCATTTGTATCCTCGAACATCGCCCGGATTTCTTATTTGCCGCATTTCATGCGTGTGCTCAAGTTCAAGGTATTACTGGCGCGTACCGTATGAAGGATGCGAATTTTCACGCGTTTTCATCTCCGGAGAAGAGTGATTAGGGTTAGCAATCCTGAACGCTCGCAATGTCCGTCCGCAACCCGCGACGCCGTTAAAAGGCTGCGCCAGGCAAAAGCCGCTCATTTCTTTCAAAATGTGTGGCACACTTGAGACAGAACTGTACTAGTCTGGTGAAATAAAGACTGTCCTCAAACTAAGCTTTATTTTTCATCTAACATAAAATAAATTGTTTTACAAAGGTAAGTTGTCTCATGGCATGTATTTTGGCCTGAAAAATTGATGTTTTGGTTATAGCGCGGTACCGCTTATAGTGCGGATTTTCGCGACTCCCGAGACATACGTTATATGCGGTCTACACTGTATTTATAAATGATAATCACACATTTTTATTTTGAGCCTGATGGCTGTAATTTTCGTTATAAACGGCCCACTCTGGCAAGCACTCGAAGAGCAGCCAGCGGAAAGAAAGTGACATACGCCGCAATCGTGACATAGACTGTCTCGGGACGAGTAAAGCTGCGGCGAGGCTGACGTTAAGAGGATCTCCTAGCTGTGCCATCCATCGAAGGGGTCAGCAGTCGGGCCACGGCAACTAATCCCAAAGCTGCTTTTCTATGAATTTTGAGTGACGGGTTAATCTTCTACAATCTTGTAGAGGGACAATGGCAACGTCTGGGACATACAAAAGAGAGTCTCAGGAAGAGCGGAGTTCCCCCTTCCCCTCTTCTCTCGTGGTGGCCGGAGGTGAGACAGTTATTTTCACTACCTGTCAAGGTTCCTAGATGGGCATTACAAACGAGGCATTAGCAACATCCACAAGGTGCTTTTTGCTAATCGTTTAATTCGTCTTAAAATTATCTTTCGTGTCTTTTTCAACAAGAGATTGGTGTGTCTGGAGTGATACTGCTCCCTTGAACACGAATAGACCTGAAAATAAGCGCCGAAATTTCGTTGTAGCATCCCTTTAAGATGCCGTCGTTAAATCTGTTTAGAAGACATTGAACGTCGTGAGGCATTATGGTGTCAAGTCACGATGTGACGTGACATCTGTAGGTCATGTGACCATACCACGTAATGTGACGTGACGACAATGTCGTAGAGTATGCGTGGATGCACGGACACACGTAGAGACAAATTTCAGGAAATAGGGACTTTCGTTAAAATGCATTCCATGCCTCAAAAACAAAATTTTTCCCATGGTTCAGTAAGGACTTAAGCCACAGAGGCAGTTTATTGAACAAAACAAAGAATGAGAGCTAAATCAGAATTACTTTCTTCAATCTCATTAGTTTCATTAAGGAAAACCCTGCCAACATCTAAAACATTTTTTCACGTTGGCATGAAAAATACTTGATGGACCATAGAAAGATTATGGCTTTAATGTGAAAGCATTAGCTGGGTCCCATGAAGCGGAGTCAGCGTTGTTCGTAACAGCGAAAAACGGCAGAGAAATTCCATCCGCGGAACGTCTCTTAAAATACATTACGGGTGGAACCAGCTGATAACTCAAGGAAGGAGAAAGAGAAAAGACAACCAATCGCTGGACTACCAACTATTTTAATGAATCATTCTCTTCTACTAAATCTTAAGCATATCAAATTTTTTTTTTTAATAATTGTTTTTTTTTTTTTTCTATTTTTACTTTGCAAAGAGGGCACCCTTCAGAAAGAGCTTTTGTTGCGGTTGCAGGGTTATTCAGGCGGAACTCACACAGTTTTCTTCTTCGTTGCTTATAGCCAAGGCCTCCAGCATCTCCCTTGCAAGCTGGTTTTTATGGTGCCCTATGATGCTGGCTTGCTCAAGTTTTGTTTGCACTTGCAAGTTCGACAATGGGCAGCGAGGTGTCCTGGTCCCGCGAGATTCTTAGCGTTGGCCATATGTTCTCATGCACAGTCGTTTATGCATCTCCCGGTCTGTCCAATATAGCATCGTCACATGTTAACGGTATGCTGTAAACAACTCCGTTTTGGCACAGAAGGTATTTTGTCCTGTGTCGGGTGTCGCACATGTCTTTCTTGTCCGTTTGTGTCTGATTGATCCTGCGGCATAGGGAATAAGCCTTATTGGGGGCCAAGCATACAACTTGAACGTTTTGCCGGTTTGCTATTTTTTTTAAATTTGTGGGTGACCCCATGAATGTACGGGACTACTGCAAAGGGCTTCTTTGTTTTCCTTGCTCCGGACCTTCCCCTCCTCCTCCTCAAGAGCTGCACTCTAATTCGGCGTTACAGGGGATTGTAAAAGTCTTTCATTTTTTACCTTAATCTTCATTGTACGAGAGAAAGCACAACCCAACCATGCACGCCATGAGCTCAGGTTGGCTATCTAGAAGCAGCATCTTAGTTAAAACAGGGTAAAAGAAAGCAATGCCAAAGCTAGCGTACGAACGAAGTAGCATCTCAAATCGACTCTCAAGTGGTCGCGTACCTTACACTCTAAAAAAAGTGTAGCCTTAACCCATTTGTCCCATATTAGGGAGTTTTAGAATAGCGCACGCTAAAGCTTTGCGTACGCAAAGAATAGCGTCGTCGCCACTGCGCATGCTCCGAACGCAAACCAGGTTTTGCGCTTTGCGTGCGCAATTTTAGCGCGCGCTATTTCTCGGAAATAGCGTGCGTACGCAAAGAGTCTTTGCGCTTCTCCAAGGAGGATTCATGATGAGAAGTTGGCTAAAGCCAAGACGAGCACCGTTAAAAAAAAATGGCGGCTTCCAGGATTATGTTGGCGGCTGCTTTGGCGGCGTCGTGGGTGCGACGTCGGCGGCATCCTCGCGACTGCAATTTTCAATACGGGACGAAATTGTACTCGGTTTGGCAGCGATCACCGGCAACTTGATGCTTGCGACGCGCGAACATTTCACGGCGAAGGTCAGTACACGAGACCTCTCTTGCCGAGGCGACGCAAGCGGACACGACCGGTCAACCGCTCGCGTCGCGTTCTCATGTTTAAACAAATTAAAATGCTACTCTGGACCAAAAAAACTCGTTTTTTTTTTCTAAAGTTACATCATTTCGTGTGTGAAATAAAAGGTTTTACTGCATCTTGGTGGCGTCGCAAGCGCGAGATGCTTGGGCTTTTGCGTCGAGGCGGAGAAATGCTAGTCTAAAACTCTTCTGCGTCGCGCGCGCTAATACAAGCGCTAAATTTAGCGCTAGCGTGCGCTAAAATTGCGTACGTTATTCTAAAACTCCCTATTATGCACCCCAAAACTTCAGTTCGACGTACAGCAGCCGCAACTTTTAAGAGGGGCTTGAAAACAGTGCGATGATACTTACTACATAAAAAATACACTGAGGTTTTGCAGTAGAGCCAAGAAAACCACAATTATTTTTTTTAATTGTAACTTTTGATTGAGGAAAGCCTGCCCTTTGGTATTTTCAGAAAAGAAAGTAAACCACCCAGCCACACCTTCGTGCAAAATTACAGTGATAACGCATGTGAATCCGATTTTCGAGATTTCTTTAAATCAAGGGTAGATCTACTCAGCTTCTGCTGTCTCGTCGTTACACGAGCACCCATGTTTGTCTAATGTTTTGCTTGTGTGTACATGTACGGGGGGTACCTACCTTCCGTCCTGGTGTGACGCCGGGGGTGTCCCTTTCCACAATGAAGGCCGTGAAGGCTTTCGAGGCCGGGCACTTGGGATCCGGATTGGACCTGGCCAGCACGAAGTACCTGCGGCCAATTTCACAGGTCATGCACACACACCTGGACCTCACTGCACCCTTTGTCGCCATGCGTCCCATACAAATTGATGTTCCAAGATGAAGCAGAGAGTAAGGCTCCGAAATACTCTAAAACCTGCCCGTAATAAAGTTAATTTATTAAAAAAACGAGAAAAAAAAATTTGTTAAGTCAATTGCTGTAATCCCTCGTTATAATGAAGTCAACGAGACGGCAAAAAGATTTAATACAAGCGGTATATTGATAAAAGCGATAGAGCCTCCCTCCCCCCCCTCCCCTCCAAAAAAAAAAAAGAAGAAACAGTGCCAGCAGCCTTGAAGGTGGATGGGAACACTGTGGAACACCCTGACTGTGTATTTAATCAAACAATCCTTGGTTGTGAACACCTTTTGGCAGCCTCCTTGAGTAAAGAAATCATCAAGTGGAGTTTGCCGATAATTTCATCCGGGCATCAGTTCTCCTCAAACTGCTCCAGGCATCGCAAGAACACCATCACCACCGTTGCACTCCACTTCGTTTTGAAGCAGCCAAAGATGTTCCATGTCTCTGCAGTCGTCGGCATTTCCTGAAGTGCCTTTCCAACGTTGCTTCATGTTTGCCCTGGCCGCATGCAAGGCCTACGATTGCAGCATCCGTGGAAGGAGTAACAGCAGGAACGTCCGCATCGACAAGCGCGAACAAATCAAAGTTATCCTTGGTGGCATTGCCAACATGTTTTCACACACTCCTGTAGAAATCGTTGAAGCTATAGAAATTGTGTGCTGGCTCGGCAAGCATGCTTGCAAGAAAAAATCTGACGTGTGCGAAGCACGTCAGATTTTCCTCTTCGGGTAGAGAATCCGTCTAATATATCTTGCTTGTTCTGCAAAATGGTGGACAGTGTCGAATAGCCGATGCCGGAACGTCGAATTCTTTGGCGATTTCAGACTTGGGCCGGCCACTTTTCTCAAACTCGTAGCTCTAAGCGACTTTTGGTAAACACTTCCAATCTTCCATACGATGCATGTGTGCATGTAGTATGCTGCAAGTGTGCCTGCGCAAGTGCACGTTGGGGACTTTTGAATGGATGATCTCCTCCGGGCTCCATCACTCCTTTGACCCTATTTCAACAGAACTCGGGCAGCGTCTGTCGTGGGTGCCATGAGTAGCATAGGAACATTGACTTGACGCTGCTCCCTGCCCGCGTCCCAACGTCCGCGCATCGGTATCGGAAGCGGCGCTCTGCCAGCTCTGCGCGCTCTGTCCTCCATCATCCGTTTGCTCCGTTTTCCCAGTTTGCCGTTTGCCTCAATGGAGAACGGAGAGAGAATGCAAGGACCTCCGTGTAGGCTTGCATGCTTTTGGCACCTCGGTGTTCATGATAAGCGCTCTCGTACACCGATACACTTATGATGATACAATTAAAAACATACGCATTTCGGTCAAGACCAACTTAAATTTCAAAACAGGCGATATTTAGAAAACAGCGATTTCGTTATAATGAGGGATTACTGTATGTCTTTGGATAAGGGTGATTCCATCTCAAACTGCACAAAAAAAGTTGGCTATGCAAAGCAACTGTTATCAATATACCGGAAGATACCGGTTAGACGTACACCCATGATGAAGGTATACGTGGTGAAGAATATCGGGTGGGCGATCTTGGGGGATGCAATGGCAAAATATAAAAAATGAACAATAAAAATGGGGGCGAGGGCAGGGCAGAGGGGCACTGCTATGAACCACATATCAACCATTTCGCAGTGTGATAAACATGCGGGAGCCTGCTACAGACTCGCATGTCTAAGGAACAGATACTGCAGGTCGCACGGTTAAAGTCATTCCCGTCGGACATTGCGCAATGTTGGACAGAAACTGAAGGTGGGCGTTGTTTCGAAATTTTTAACCGTATGAATATTTAGCAATAAAAATGGGGTGGGCAATGTCTTGGAAAAGGGCATTCATGTAGCTATCTTCAATACGAGGAAAGAGCTGCTTGACTCGGAAGGGAACCTGTCGTCAATGGCCAAAAAGAAGCCTTATTCCCAACAAACGGATACCATTAGGGTGGACGACTGTCGAACGAGTCCAGAGGGTCCTCGATGACGATTCTAGCGAATCATCAGGGCCACTGCAAAACAACTTTAACTGGATGAGTGTGTCATCAGGCGTGTACAAATGCAACAGATGTTGGTACAGATGCGATGCTATGAGAAGAGAATACGACCGACATTTCTTGGCACAATCATTTTATCCGGTCGAAGTGCCTGCTTAACAAACTCTAGCATCATGAGGAGCATGACATGCTTCGGTTTTTTTCAGAGGAGAAGAACCTCGTCCATAATCGAATGGTGAACCGAAAAAGTGACGGGTGGCTTTGAGATCATCTATGACGGCTTTCGGAATTGCCAGTAACCACCAACAAAGGTAATGCCATGGATAATTGAAAACGAGCGTGTTGTTGAATTGATATGAATAATTGAAAGAATAAAGCATTGAGGACGAGGACGGAAACAGGATTTTTATGAAAGAAGTCCTGTTTTCAAATATACGTAATGTCATGCCACCCTGTCTCTTCACTCATGGAATTAGAGTCAATGCCACTGCGTATGTTGATATGCTGGACATGGCAGTAATGCTTTGGGTTGAGGATCTTGCCCAGGGGCGGCCGTAGGTCTTCCAGCGAGACTCTGCACCCGAACACAGGTCTTCTGCGATACAAGAGTGGGTGGTTGAAAATTTAAATGGCCACATCACGCCTAACGTGTGTAATGCGTTAAGCTATCTGCGCTGGACTGTGTAATGTGTTATTGCAAGGGGGACCAACAAGCAGCCTCACAATACTAAGGACTCGTTGAACGCTGCTACTGTGGAGGCAACGGCCAACATCAAACAGCAGGTCCTCATCAAGGCTCGCAGACACCTCCAGAGCCGTATCAAGACTGTCACGAATGCTAATGGTGGTTTCATTAAACGAGTTTTAGGAGCATGGATTTGGAGACCTGTGTACCAAATTTGGAGCAAATACCACCAAATTTGAAGGAGATATGATCGTTTCTGCTTTGCTTGTGCATTTTTGCTCAAATACCAGCCACACCCTGTATGCTTTCATTATCACCGAACTGCCGTGCACAAAACATTTCACGGAGGTGTTGCCAAATACGCAACCACAGAAAAAGCCAATGAGAAATGCCTTAACTATTTCATAGCACCAGACGTGCCAAGAAGTAACTGTGACTCACCAGTTGGCCACGCCTCCGTTGGTGATCCACATTTTCTGGCCATTGATGATCCACTTGTCCCCCTTCTTCTCCGCCTTGGTCTTGATGCCCGCCACGTCGGAGCCTGCGCCGGGCTCCGTCACGCAGTACGCCTGCACAGCAGGTCGGTGAAAAGCACAGGAGGAACCTTAAACGCCGGTCGCATCTGTTTTTAAACCGCTGGCTACTAATCATGAATGTCATTGGTGCCCTCCATTACCATTATAACAGCGAAGAACTATCGAACAGACACATCAGATAGTCGGGAATCAATAGTGATAGCAACAAACACCACCCGGGACGGTTTACTGGTCAATGCGGCAGTCTTTCCCGGTGGCTGAAATGGCCGCAAGACAGATTTTCCGATCACATGACCAGCGCGGGGGGCAGGAAGCACCGAGCCTACCAGCCAATTCCGCTCAGAAGACGTGGGCATTGCCTGGCATTTTCTTTAATTCTCACCAAACAAGACCTTTCCCATATATAACTTTATGTGCTGCTCCTAAGGCACAGAAATGCAAATAATTTCACTTACATTTCAAGCTCCTCGACCCTTCTTCTGTGTGCCAAATCAGATAAAAATCCAATCCGGCACACAGAAATTGAAATAACAACGGAACTGCGGCGCCATTTATCTGTCTTGGTGTCAACTATTTTGTGCCATACAGTCGAGGCTGGTGCAACTTCCACAGTGCTCCGACGCCATCAAAGCTACTTGCGCAGGTGCATCACTTCGCTTGGCATCTTCTTCGCATGAGAATAGGTTAAAATAAGATGGGAGAAAAAGCTATTTTCTCTCGCAGCAGTGCTGGGCTGCAGCACTGTGAAGTTATGCTAATCTTGACGACGCAGCAGAAAACAGTTTACGCCGAGTTTTTCTTTACTAGGTACCTTGTCACCAAGAAGCCAGTCACATGACCAGAAAATCCCTCTTGCGGCTATTTTAGGTGCTGGCAAAGACACCCGCATTTATCAGTAAACTGCTTCAGGGGGCCAAATGAATGTTTCATTCAGCTTTTTGTGCAAATTTTCGATTTTAAATGAAAATCTTTTTGTGGTATGTTTTATAAAAAAAAAAAATTGGTCTTCAATGGGTTAAAGGATCTTTGAGGTAATGTGGACATTTCTGCAACTAATCTGCGTTTTGTCAATGTAGGGCGGCTGAGAACGTAGAGAAAGCTCCACCCAAACTTGCGCACGAGACACGTGCTTGTCGAACTCATGCTTCGAGAAACGAGACGGAAATAAAAAGCAGAAAATCTTTGTGGCATGCTCGTCTTCATCGTGCTGCCTCGGTAGATCCAAGGCAAGGTGCCGGCTTACGAATCCCTGGTTGGCGGGCACAAATCCCGCCAAACGGAGAGTCGAGTAAAGGCGCTGCAGCATTGAGCAAACAATTGCACAGCTCTGTCCATTAACACGAAAGAGACATGTTTTCAAAACGCCGGTCACATTGAGGCAACAGCAACTGTTACTGTCGCCCGGCAGCCGTGTTCGCCGATTCGCTGTCAGACAGCCGAAGAACACCGTGTCACACCGCGCTGATGGCACGGTCAAAACGGAAACACTCCGCCTTCTTGACTGTCTACTTTCTGAACTATTGTTGCAAGTTGAGCTGGTTGGCACATGTTCACAGAAGGTGGGAAAACAGCTTGAACAAAAAGCACTTACATAGAGACTAGACAAACGCATAGCTGACTATCAACCATTCGTTACTATCTTCATCTTTGTCAACACTGTGTCTCGTTTTCACCTTCAACCTCTCGACAGCTACATGTTTATGAGATTAAATAATTTGGATAACTTTTGAAAAATTCAGAGATGCGAAAAGTATCCTAAAAGAAAGAAGAAATTAAAAAAATATAAATGTAAAATAAGCACATATCAATCATACAAGCTCACTACCAGTCACTTTGGTACAGCACGTCACAGATAAACTCAACTTGCGTTAATTCGACCTCGATTAAAGGGACAATGAAGACAATTTTATTTAATTTTTTTTAAATGGTGTTTTTATGCTTCTTGGGAACATAGCATGTTGCCCAAGTTTTCGTAGACATTTGTGACGCATATTTGTGTGCCTATAAAAGAAGTAAAGAAACCGAAACTGAAAAATCTCCATTCTTGTTTCTGGGCCTCTGAAAACGGAGGTGACGTAGGGAGTGATGTCAAGTGTGAATAGTCGGTATCTGTAGTATTTAGGAGATTGAGAGACTGGCCACCGCGCTGGGTTACAGCAGCGGGGTGGCGCGGTCGTTTCGTCGAATCTGTCAACATGGACGGGCCGCTTTTGCGAGCGAGTTTGAGCTTCCGTTCAGTGACCCAACACAAACGGAACGGGAGTATGTGTGGCGGCCTCCGCCCGATGGAGACCGCCCAGCCAGTAAGCGGCCCGCATGCCAAAGAGCCATAGTTGCTTGCTGGCCGTTTCACGTCCAGCGTAGCAAAGAAAAAAACAATGATGCTGCTTTATTTAAGGTTTAATAATCATTTCCGGTCCGATCTATACTTTTCATGGTTATTTAAGCGGAAATTAGAACAGTATTCCTAGAAATCGCGAACCTTAACGTGACCGAGGGCACGTCTCTCGTTTCGACCAATCGCTGACGCGTCTCTTGTGACGTCGCGCTTCTTGGCCCCGCATCGGTCACGTGAGCTCCGCTTCTCCTAGCTTCTCCCGCAGCTCTCGGGGCGTCGCTCCAGTCAATCCTGGTACAATTATTACCGCGACTGTTTATTGATTTGCGCGGCACACAAGTGCCGGTTTCGGCTGAAATTTGGGCAACGTGGCCCGAGACTTGCCTGAAACCCAGTTTAATCGCCAAAAATATGTCCGGAATTGCCTTCATTGTCTCTTTAACTTGACCCTCTTCAAAGGTCTTAGCAAAAAACCCACACATTTCTTTAAAAAAATAAAAACTCGTTATTTCGATCTTAAAACATAAAATATCGGTCAATTCAAACTGCCGCGCCCATCGGTCGGCCGCAATTGGCCACGCCAACAATCGCGACCGGTCACGCCACCCTTTTTCAAATTTGGAAGCGTGGTCCAAATTGCGAAGAGAGAGAAAAAGAGAGCACATGTTGTGACATGGGGCATGGCATGGTCTCAACACAAAACAAACTTTGCAACACTGCTGTGGAGCAGCAGTGTCGCAAAGGTTGTTTGTGTTGCCGGCTGTTGCCGGCGGTGGCGCCGGTGCACACAACCAAAACAACCATTTGTGTTCTACATGGTTGCCGGCGACGGCGGCATTGTTGCACACAACCAAAACAACCATTGCAACACTGCTGCAGCTGCTCTGCAGCAGTGTTGCAATGGTGCCGGCGACGGGTGCTGCCAATCACTGCTGCCGCAGCTCCACTGAATGCGCAAAAACATGCACGGTCACTGCCACCGCCCTGCCGCAGTGTGCAGCGGCTCATTATAACTATGTTATAATGAGCCGCTGCACACTGCACACATGTTAGCATACCTGATCTAAAGCGCTGGACATTCAGAATTTAGCACGCATCATTCAATTAGACTTTTGGATAATTTGACTCAATTTCGCATGTCCCGTCAAGTTCAAATTAAAGGAAGTCGACTGTACTGGGAATTAGTGAACAAATCAATCAAGCTAGTTAGTGGTGGTTAAACATTAGACTAAAAACCCCTGAGACTGGGACAAGAAGGGACGGACAAACACAAAGTCTCAAACACAATTTAAAAGCTGTGTTTGAGACTTTGTGCTTGTCAGTCCCTTCTCATCCCAGTCTCAGGGTTTTTAGTCAAATGTACTCACTGGGAAACGTGATCGAAGCACTGCTAGTACAATGCAGTGGCCACAGCTCATCGTAGAAGTTATTTTTCTTTGTACTGAAGCGTGACTGAGGGACAGCTAACACAGTCATTTGCATTTTCTTCAACAGCTAATGCCTCAACGATCTCCCTTGCGTGCCGATTTCTGTGCACGTGTTTTTTGTGCAAGCCGTTTTCCCACATTCTGTTTTGTGTGCGTCGCAGTGTCACTGGAAATGTGACTCTACAAAGCACTTGTGCACTAGAAGCGCCAAAAATTACCCCGGGACAACATCAACCAGCGACAGTGATCAAAAACAATCGACAGGGGAAGTATTTTTTGCTCTTTATTTCATCAAAATGTTCTTCATTTGCTGGTGAAGCAGCTAGCCCTAACCAAGGAAGATGAGATCGCTGCTATGCTCATGATTTATAACATTGCACGAAGTAGTTCTGTCTGGTTCTGTCTTTCACGCAATTCCTATTTCTAGTGCAAAATTGAGTTAGCACTGACTGAACCCCAGTGTTTTTTGTAGCATTGTGCTGAGCTGAACTGGCAGTGTTAAGAAACTGTGACACTGATGCAATCGGCCTTCATAATTATTGGTGGAATAAATATTTTTCAATGATGTTTATTTACCTTTACCACTTGCTATGTGATTCCTTCATTCCCCAAAACGTCCTGGGAATATTTTTAAACAATTCAGGTGCCGGGCAGCGGCTGTTTTCAAGTTCCAAGCATGAACAATCACAATCAGAGTAGTCGTTTTCATGCTGCAATTTTTTAATTGCTCGCTTTCGTGGATAATTTTTTATTCAATTTTATCCACAGGTGAGTAGACATGCCATTTTATTTCTCTAGCAGTAATGTGAACTGGTCTATTGACAGTTCAAACTTCAACAACCGTCTGAACGTTCACAACTTTAGCTGTGACCATTTCGACAACTGCTTTCCGTAATTATGCAGTAAAATGTTAAATTATTTTAGCTGCATGCCAGTCTTAATTTCTCCAGGACTTTATTTGAGCAAGCACTTAGAAAAAATTAGAGAGTCCTTCCACTTCACGTGAAGATGGAGGACCACTGAAGCTGTTATTTTTACGACGTTTACGACGACGCCTAAAGGACGACGTCTAGGACGACTTCAAGGACAACTTTTAGCACGATTTCCAGGACGACCTCGAGGACGATGCCTAGAGATGATAACAAGGGTTCAGGACCTCACTATCTAATAATGCCAGGGAAGGCTGACTCATGCTGGTTGCCCCCTCTTTTTATTTTTATTTATTCGTACTTCCCACGACCAATGGGGAGTTTTCTGTCAGCAGGGGAGCTTCCTGTCAACAACCGCGGACACATTGTTTTCCCAGATCCTAGCGCAAAACAGCTTAAATGAAAAAGGCACGCGATTAATAGGGAACTCTACCATCGAAGCTATCTGCATTGTAGTGTGAACAGCACAAAATCTGCTCATCCACCGATTTGGACAACACACATTGTCCAACACAAGCTGCTGCTGTTTTCGTTGCCGAAAGCTGTCACACCAGGGCAACATTGTTGCTGCCGCCTGTGTAGAGCTGACGTTGCCACAACGTAAAAGGTTTGTCGGGCAACAAAGCAACCAAGAAGCAAGTTGACCAACTGTTGATGAGCATGTTGTGCTGCTATTGCTGCCGTGTTTCCCCAATGCGACAGGGACTTTAGCATTATGTTGGCACAGGCATTATCAGCTGGAAAACTGGATGTTATTACAATTTGCCTCGTATAACAATAAAGGCCATCAACACTGTAGTCCCTGTTGGTTTCATTCTTATAAGCTTACTTAATAGGTGGCTAATATTTTTTTAAAGATTAATTTAAGAATTTAAACACGGCTGTTTGGAGCCTTCATGTGGTTGTCAGAAAGGGCAAGCAAGGGAAGCAAAGCCACTGACACAGGTACTGCATGTGTACAGCGAAAACCACACAGATGCGTCGGCGGCCATATTTTCCACAGTTCTCCGACTCACAGCTAAAAGAGGTTCCTCAATCAAGCGACCCAGGTACTTCTTCTTCTGGGCATCGTTTCCGGCAAGGATGAGTGGAGTTTGCTGCAAAAGGATGGGTCGGGAGTCAAGAATGTTAACAAACTGGGCAGAGAAGTATATTTCTTCCAGACTTCGGTGTTACAGCAAACAACTTCATTTTCCAAAAGCAATAGTTAAGTTCATAACCATGGGGGTGCAACCATTTTCAAATCACAAAATTCACAAAAATAAGGTCCTCACAAAAACTACCTAAGACATATAATTACATCATTCATTTCTTAAAAAGGACCATGAACCAACCGAAGAAATGGCTAGAACAGGCAAGCCTGACTCCTTTCCTTTGTCTCCTAAGACAATGATGCTTCTTTCATGCGTGTATATTTGTAAACATCCGAGAATGAAATACATGGAGCATATGGAAAATTCCTATAACCTTTTTGTAATTGCAACACCCCTTCAGGTGCCGATATTGGTACAGCGGCAATTTGTTTTGAATTTATGTAACAGGGTGGCAAATGCGAAATGGAAGAAAAGCAAGTACTAGTATCAAAACCCCAAACTTGCTAGCAAAAAAAAGGGGGAAGATTAAAGTGAAATTCTGTCATACTATCAGTGCCTGTAGCATTACCAAGACAAAAAACAAACAATGAATACAGATTCTCATCATGCAATGACAAAACAAAAATTGTAAAAACACTCAAGCAATCATCATGTCAAAAGTTCTTTATGTAAAAACTCTAGTACATTTTTTTACACCTCTGTACTACCTGTAAGCGGGCTGGGGACAAATAAAGCTGTTTAAACAGCTCTTCCCCCAGCCCCCACGATATGCACATTTATATGTACGAAGAAAAAATGCTTATTATTATTAAATTAATGCAGACTCGCATACACATGCAGACACTGAAACAATTTGCTAGCAGTAATGGTCCAAGAGCCAACACAATTCTCCCCCTCCTCCAAGGCCCATACTTTTTTAAGCAAAGTAACAATGAAAAGACCTCACGCATCAGGGAAACCTCAGAAGAGAGAAAAACTAAGGGAAAAGGCTCGCAAATATTCCGAGTTTGCACAGACAGGACGTAACAGTCGTGCGTTTGACCCTAGTTTCAAAAACAACTGCCAAACTTTCTACGAATGCAGTCCTGAAAAACGGTTTCTGCCAGAAAGTTTACAAATGCGAGAGGCTAAAGGCTCATTTGCAGATTCGCATCCGAGTGTGATCGACGGCAATGCAACCACCTGTGGCCGTGTAGGAGCAATATGTTTTGATACAAAAAACATGATCACATTTTCGCTCAAAACTGGGCAACACGATTGCACACGCGGTTTACTTAAAATGATGCATCTTTATTTTTCAGACTGCCGGCACAAATCGCAATGCAGTAAGCCTCAAACGACCTGTTGCACGGCTGCGGTCATCACGGCTAGAGTCGCGTCCTGGACGCCTGCCGCGTGACTCCCGGTAGCGCAATGACCGAGGCAGTCCCAAGGCAGTTGGTTGTTACTACCGCAACCAACCACAGCAGCTTCTACACCTAGTTTGGAAAAACATGCAGTGCCAAAAATACTAACGTAAAAACAACCTCTAGCTAACATTTAAATTTTAAATAAATAAGCGAGCTAATCCCAGAGGCAGTGCAACACTCACGGTATTGCACTGCCTGCTGGATCGAAGCTAGTTTTGCACCGTGTATGCACATTTCATTATGTTTCGGAGCCCGGTTTGGATAATACAATCTTTGGACGATATGTTTTATTTTTCAGTTACTGCGAAAATCGTATCAACAAGATTCCACTGTACGAAACCATTTACGCTAGGTAGGAGCACAAATCTGACCTTGCAAATATTTAAAAACATTTGGTCTAGTTATATGAAAGTTGGAAGTGTTCCAAGCCTACCTGTTAGATAGCGCCAGTGTCGTAAGCAACCACAAGCGTTTGCAATGCACTCGACCACATTTATGAACCAGTCTCAAGAGAGCCAAAACTTGTGTAGGCTGCCCACTGTGCAAAGAGTGAGCAGGAAGACATTAGCCACGTCTGACGAAGCCGGACTTCACCCCGGAGCTTCGGCATGTCACTGTGACGCAGTCAGGCTTATAAATGATAGCCACTTGCACCGATGTGATGGTAAATTTATTAAAATATTTTCTATTATATATTTACAAGGGCCTGTTTTTTTTCGAACGCTTGCGTACATTTTTGGATGCTTGCCGTACCAAACAAGACCAGTAAATACAGCGCCAAAAAACGACAGGACAAAGACGAGAGTAAACAGGACGAGGCGCACTCGCAACTAAAGTTTATTTAGGAAAAAACACATAATATATAGGCCGTTAAAAACGCCTATATATTCCCAGACAGACATGGAGCAGTGCAGCACAAAACACAAAACCAAATATGCTGAGTGTGCCGTCGGAGTGGTTTACGAAATTCCGCTGACTTGCGGCTCCGTGTACATCGGCCAGACTGGCAGATGTGTCAATGATCGTGCACGGGAACATGCGGCAGCTATGAGAGCAAGCCCGTCTGGTAATCTAGCTGTTCATTGTAGTCGCTGCCCGTGCTCACCAGTTTTGCATGATGTGAAGGTTCTTGCGAAATATAAAGATAAAATATGCCGAGAAGTGCACGAGGCGTTTGAGATTAGAGCAAAGGGAGATGACTGCGTTAGCGAGCCTTCCCTTGCCCTCTCAGGGAGAGAGTTTGATTTTATCAAGAGGTCTTCTGGATTGATGGGATGAATAGGCGTTTTTAACGGCCTATATATTACGTGTTTTTTCCTAAATAAACTTTAGTTGCGAGTGCGCCTCGTCCTGTTTACTCTCGTCTTTGTCCTGTCGTTTTTTGGCGCTGTATTTACTGATCATGAACCAACTAGCCCAAATTTCTACTTCGCACCAAACAAGACCTTTGTCACCTACGCAAATTTGAATGTATAGGACGTCCAAATTCAAAGAAAATGTGAATTTACTCGGAAGTTATTTGTGGCAGTACTTTATTGGTGTCGCTCCCTCTCATCACAGAGCTTACGAATCGGGCTCGTCAATTTGGTGAGCTTATCGGAAAGCTGGAGAAAAAAACTAAGACACTTAAAGGAGGACCAGCAGAAATATTCTTCCGCCTGGCGGAAAGTCTTCCTCGCCCTCTTTCTTTCTTGTATTGTAGCACGGCGAGGCGAGGGGAAAGGTCCCCTTTTGCGCCGGCTTCTTCTGAGAGGATAAGCCGAGAAAATCCCCATTCTGAGCGACGGGCGATGGGTGCGGCAACAGCGACCTCGTGACTTACAGGTAGCTTCAGCTCCTATCGCGTAATCTGCCCCATTTTTTTGGCGCTCACCAAGCCTAGCCCCTCGGGTGTAGGTTTTACGAAGCTGCGAGGCTGCGCCCGCGCAGTCACCGAATTTTAGCTGTCGAAGGTCTTTGGTTTAGCCCGTGGCAAAGTAAACGCATACTTGAGAGCTGCGATGCATCCCCGCACCCATTGAAGGAACGTTTCATAGATATTTTCAGTTGACCAAGGAGCTCAAAACACATGCGCGAGAAGTGGTGACTTGAATATGTAAGGATGACTTACATCTTCACAAAACATTCTATCTTAAAAAAAAAACAAAAAAAAAAACGGCTTATCACGCTCAAACCTGCTTCAAATTGGGATCGATGGAAAAGAAAACAATGTACCAGGCGCGGGCATCTTCTAAAAGGTCTCTGTTTTCCAGCAGCGAGCACAAATTATTGGAGAATTGGAGAACTTTTAGCGGCGAGATGTTTTGGTGGCGCCCTCCTATGGTTCCCCCTTGTGACGTCATTACCTTGCGAACAACAAGTTCGATGGTGTTTGTAAATAGAATGGTGGAAGCCTGAAATCATTGCGCTCTCAAAGCAACACTGCCAACACCGTTGAAATTAAAGTTCTTTCATTCCCCTTATTTCCGTCGATGGTATACCCTTTCCGACGTCATAGTCAGCTTTTGGGCCAATCGTGGAAGGCCGACCACAGCGACGCTTTCGGTCGCGCACGTCGCCATTAGCAGACTATGTTTTCAGGCCACGCTATATTTAGCCGGAGCTCGCGTTGCCACTTCGATGCATTGTCTGAAGCGCGCGGCTGAAGTGGCAGCGGGCCTTTAAAAACGATTTACTAAAATGCCCTGTTGATGGCCAGCAAAATGTATGAAATTCATATTTACATATTCCCAACAGCCCCCTGAGGTGAGAGGGCATCAAGGGTGAATGTCAATTTTAGAAAGTTTTAGTGGGTCGCTTTTAGCCACTTAGATATAGGGATGCCGCAAACTTTTTTCGAATTGAAGTTTCGATGATCGAATCAAGCGGTTCGAAAGGTTCAAAAGATTTCGATTTTTCTAATTGTCTACATCGTAAAATTCGATGGAAGTCGAATTTTCGAACTTGTTAAGCTAAGAAGTTCGACGCTTTTCGAACCATCGAACTTATTACGCTAAAAAATTCGATCTTTTTCGAACTTTCGAATTTATTGCGCTGCAAAGTTCGATGCTTGTCGAACTTCCGAACTTGACTGACCAAAAAATTCGATTAATTTCGAACTTTCGAACTTATTTATCAAGAAAATTCGAAAAGGTTCGAACTTTCGAATCCTGAAAAGTCAGAAGTTCGACGAACTTCGAACTTTTAGGGTAAAAGTTCGACGTTCGTCGAACTTCGAAAGATCAGCGGACGGTTTCATTTGAATTCAAGTAGTGAGGTACATTCGTAATTTTTTTTCAATCGAACTTTTACACGCGGTGCTGCGTTCCTTACAAAAGACAATGCCGTTTGTTTCAATGTTCTGGCATGCTTAGTTTTAAAGAAATAAATTCCCGAAGGGGCGAGGAAGGACGACGGGTTTTTGACGATTATCGTTTGTGCCAGATTTGAAGCGCGCTGTAGCCGAAGCTATTTGTGGTAGAGATGTTATACTTTTTTAAGAATGATCTATGTATAGCCTAGGTAAGTACCGTCTTAAGATGTGATTATTGTTATTCAACGTGAGTTTCGAAGAAATGTGCAAACATGTATCTACATGCAATTATGCCCTAAACT